ATTGGGTCTTTTTTGTTTGAGGGACAGTCTGCTTTTGGTTTTTTAGTTCTTTATATAGTCTAGATATTAGTGCTCTGCCTGAAGAATAGCTGGCAGGTTTTTTTCCCATTCTGTAGGTTTTCTCTTCACTTTGTTAGTTGGGTCCATTACTGTACAGCAGCTTTTTAATTTGGTATAATCCCATTTGTTGATTCTTGATGTTATTTCTTATGCAATTGGGGTTCTGTTCAGAATGTCCTGGCCTGTGCCTTCAAGAGTTTTATGTATCTTATTTTCCAGCATGTTGCTTCTGTTTTAATGTTTAGATCTCGGATCCATTTTGATTTTAGTTTAGTATGTGGTGAAAGATAGGAGTCCAGATTCAGTCTTGTGCATGTGGATAGCCAGGTTTCCCAGTACCATTTGCTAAAGAGGCTATCTTTCCTCCAATATATGCTTTGGCCCTTTTGTCAAAGATTAAATGGCTGAATGTGTCTGAGATTGTTTCTACATCTTCCCTTCTGTTCCATTCATGCATGTTTGCTTTTATGCCAGTACCATGCTGTTTTTATCACTATAGCTCTGTAATATAACTTGAAATCTGGGATTGTGCTGCCTCCTGCTTTGCTATTGTTGACCAGGATTGCTTTTGCTATTCTGAGTCTCTTCTAGATTTGTATGAATTTTAGGATTGTTTTGTCTAGTTCTGCAATGAAAACTGTTGGTATTTTGATTGTGATTACATTAAAGGTATATATCAGTTTTGGAAATATGGCCATTAATGACAATATGGGTTCTGCCTATCCAGCAACAGAGATATTTTTCAGTTTTTTGATGTCTTCTTCCATATTATGTTTTTTTGTTGTTTGGTACCAGGGATTGAACTTGGGACCTTGTACTTGCAGCAGGAGGAGGTGGCACCACTGAGCTAAATCCCCGGCCCCTCTTCCATATCTTTTTTCAGAGTTACAGAAATCTTTCACTTCCTTTGTTAGGTTAATTCCTAAGTATTTTAATTTTTCTTGACATCATTGTGAATGGTATTGTTTCTAAGTTTTCTCAGTGGGTCCATTATTGGTATACAAGAGAATGCTATTCATTTGTGTGTGTTGATTTTTGTATCCAGCTAACTTGCTGAATTGATTAGTCCTAAAAGTCTTTGGTGGAATTTTGGGAGTCTTCTCTGTAAAGGGTCATGTTGTTTGCAAATACTGTATAGTATGACTTTTTCCTTTCCTGTATCTTTTTTATGTCTTTCTTTTGCTTGAATTCTCTTGCTGAAGTTTCAAGTACTATGTTGAACAGGAGTGATGTTACTGGATATCCTTGTCTTTTTCCTAATTTAAGAGGAAAAGCTTTTAGGTTTTCTCTCATTTAATATAATGTTGGTAGTAGGTTTGTTATAAATGGCCTTTATTAGAAAAATTTTCTTCCAGCTTTTTATCATAAATAGATGTTGGATTTTGTTTGACTTTTTCTGCATCTATTGAGTTGATCATGTGATTTTTGTCCTTCTGTTTATGTGATGTATTAAATTCATTCATATGCATCCATTGAACTATGCTTATATCCCTGTGATTAAGCCTGTTTGGTCATGATGTATGATCTTTTTAAGGATTTGTTGCATTCTGTTTGCCAGGATCTCTTCATTAAAGAGATTGGTTTGTACATTTTTTTTTTTTTTACTTGAGTCCTTATCTGGTTTTGGAATCAAGGTAATGCTAGCTTCCAGGAATAAGTTTGGGAGTACCTGTCCCCTTTCAGTTTCATTTTAAAGAGTTTGAGGAGTATTAGTGTTAGATCCTTGAAGTTCTTGTAGAATTCAGTGGTCAATTATTTGGGTCCTGGGCTTTTCTTAGTAAGCTCTCTTATTATTGCCTCAATTTCATTGACTGTTACTGAATTATTCACAGTTTTTATATCTTCTTGGTGCAGTTTGGGGAATTTATATATATCTAAGAATCCACCCATTTCCTCTAGCTCCTGCAATTTATTGTAATATAGGTCTTTGTTTTGCATGTCCATTGTGATTTTACTTTTTTTGTTTATAATTTCATTGATATAGACCTTTCCTTTTTGGGGGGAAAGATTGGCTAAATGTTTGTCTATTTTGTTTATTCTTTTGAAGAGCCAGTGCTTTGATCCATTGATTTTTTTAGTGTCAATTTCATTAACTTTTGCTCTGATCTTTTTTAATTTCCTTCCTTATATGGGTTTTGGATTTGAATTGGTCTTGTTTTTCTAGGACCTTTAATGCACCATTAGGTTATTTATTTGCACTCACTCTGTTTTTCTAATGTGGATATTCACAGCTATAAGCTTCCCTCTTAGAACTGCTTCCATTGAGTCCCATAGGTTCTAGATATTGTACTAGCATCAATTTCCTTACCTAATGTGCTGCTAGTAAATGATACAGCAGCACTCAGTTTCTCAGTCCTGGATTGAAAAGGTTACTGACTTTATCATTTATTTCCCATACTTGGGAATATACTTTTTAAAAATCTAGTCTCAACTAATGTTTTATTTCATTGTTTAAGCTGTAATTACTGCAGTTGAAAAAGGGAAAGAGCCTACCCTAGAAAATACTTTTAGGCACACACAGTACATTGAGAGTGGCAGAACTTGGGGCAGGAGAGGGGACCTAACAAGAAAACCTGTACATTAATCTGTACATTAATATTGGCCAAGGCTAAACCTTCTGAAGACTGAGATTACCTAGGATAACTTTTGCTTAAAAACAGTAAAACCCTGAAGCCAGCAATTGGCAGATACCAGCTACAGGGGGCTGGAATCTGGAGACCCCTACCTGTGACTGGGGAAAGAAGGAGCAGCTGAGGCACACTAGGGAGCATGGCTATTTACCAGCTAGTACAGTGTGGAGATATTTCACAGTACAAAGACAAACTGGTGCTTCTTGGCCATATGTCAGTTCTGCCTAGGTAAACCCATAAATATACTGTTTCCTTAATAATAGGTTGTGTTGCATTTTGATTATTCATACTTAACAAGGAAGAGCCAATTTTCCTTCTGTATATTTGTTTTTTTACAGGCCCCCTAGAAGGCTGCCTCAGTAGTGTGACTTATGCTTCCATGATCCCTCTTCAGGTGCTACAGAACTACCTCAGGCTGGTAGGTTGACACTGCCAAGTGGAAGCCTCCACTTCCATCCCTGCTCCTGGAACATGGTGTGACCCAATCGTATGTTTATGGGAGTACCAGCCCCACCCACCCTTGGCCCATGTTTTGCACCATTCTTTTTCCCAGCAGCCCTAGCCCTGGCTAGCTGCCCATCACTTAGTCTGATTTTCTCTCATTGTCATCCAGGTGTCCGTTGCTTGAACCCAGAAACTGTGTGACTTGTAAAGTGTCATAATTTGAGCAGGAAGAGGTTGTTTTCCTTTAACAAGGACTTGATATCAAATGAATGATCATCAGTATAGAATGGCCAAACATACCAAGATACCTTACTATAAGCTTCTATAATTTAAAATTGAGTAAATATGCTAGCATTGAGTAGAATGCTTATTTAGCCACTTAACAGAAACCAAGTAATTATAGCTTAAGCAGAAGTTATTTTTTTAAGTATCTCATTTCTAGGAGGTGAGAGCACTAGGGAGGAGAAGGCAGGATGAATTCCTCAGGGTCTCAGCACCTTCTCCTTGCTCCACTGTTCACCATGGTGTTGCTTTGTGTGACTTGGTCACAAGTGGTCATGACTACCATGTTCACTTCCTACCCTGAAGGAAGAGATCTGGACAATGAGCCCCTTCGTTTCAGGGGAGTTACACATCATTCCTGCTCATACCCCATAGGACAGAATTGAGAATCATGTCCATGTCTAGCTGGCAAGTGTGGTCTTTTGTGGGACAACTGCATGTCCTCCTAAAACTAGAAAGTCTGTTACTAAAAGAAAGAAGAGGAATTAGCTATTATTTAGGAATTAGCTATATAAGAGGAATTAGCTATATTTGCTATTATTAAAATAGCAAATTCTAGACATAAAATGGATAAATGTAATACTTTACATTCATTAAATAGTACATGAAAAGTAATATGGCAAGTGCTTTTATATGCCTTACTTTATTCAAAATATCTCTGACATCGATAATTTCACCTACTATTTTAATAAGGAAATTAGAGAGAGGTAAGATAACATGCTCAAAGCTACACACCTAGTAAGTGATGAAGCCAGAATTGTACACATCCCTGAGATACTGTATGTGTCCTTTGTGTGTGTGATATCTATCTAAAATTAATATTAATAGGATATGAAACAAGTAAACAATTTTGCTTGCTGCCTTAATTTAGAAAGCTTTTAGAAAAAACAAGTGAGACTATGATCCTTTACAAAAGTTGTTTCCATAAGCTGTGAATTGATATCTTTGTTTTCACTCTGATGAAAGGAAGTATTCAGAACCTTCCATTGATCTAGCTGGACTCAAAACTGGAATTGCCTTTGTACACACAGTCCTGTCCTGGTAATACGTAAACATTCAAAGATTCACATTGTGAAAGAGGTGGTGTGTTCTGAATCTGATATTTTCACTATTTTTCTTTGCTTTCTCCTCCTCTTCCCTCAAAGCCCCAAAGTATACTGGAGGGAAGGAGCTCTTTCTCATTCCTTTGCTTCAGTCAAGGTTGAAGGGTATGACTGCCTGAATTTCAGGAATGTGAGCCTCATACCCTTCTTTCTCACTCTCCTTTCCTCCCAGCATCTCTGTAACTGGGCAAGGGTCTGGCCCAAGGCTTTTCATTCACCTGTTTAGGTGATGAAATTGTCAAAAACCAAAATTACAACCAGTTTTAAAATCTTGATTGGCTTCAATTTGTAGTACTTCATTGCGTTAAGAAAAATAAGTGGTCCATTGGGATGGGCAGGAGAGTTTGGTTTTACAAGCAGAGAAGCAGACAGAAAGAAGAAAACAAAGAACAAAAATGAACTGGTTATTTTATAGTTACTTTCCTTGTAAGGCAGGTACAGGGAAACAGCAATGGAAAAATAACTGTTTGTTTAATATCGGGTTACTTTTTAATAAGGATTAAAGCAGAAGGGAATGTCATTATCATGCCGATTGAAACTAGCCTATTGAGGAAACTTGGCTGTTGGTTCTTGATCTCTCAAAAGGTCAAATAGCAACTTAGTTTCCGTTTGGAGACAAGAAGCTTTAGCCTGGGTGACTCTGTTTTTTTTTTTAGTCTAGTTTATTGAGGTTCAGGGCAGGAGCGTGGTCCAAAACAGTGATCTCTTGTAATTTTTATTTAGCAAAAAGAGTAGCAGGGCCATGCAACTGAATTAAAACTGCACATTAGCATTAACTAGAAAATCTGGTAAAATAAAATGTCTGCTAGTCCCATTATATGTGGCATATTCATACTGTACTCACACACGTGCCTCCTGATTCATAAGATTTAGTTTAACTACCAGTGATCAACAAACCAGACTCAATCAACTGTTTTTAGTTCTTTTCTCAATTTAGTGAGTGTACTTGAAGGGTTTTTGTAATCTAACAGTTAACTCTTGGATGGACATTGAAAGAAGTTTCAATTCTTTGAAAATTTAAAGTGATTAAGGCAATAATACATTGTGAATGTTTCCTCTTTTCATTCAAGAGAATGAGCTCCTCATCGGGGTAGGCCATGTGTTATGCTCCTGTATCCTCCAGTCATTTAACTCAGTTGACTGCTATAGAGTGACTCCTAACTGCAGGCAATGGGTTAGACTTAGGTTATGGATATGGAGAAGACATCCTTCCTGGCCTCATCAAGCTTACATTCCAGTGGAAAAAAAGACTTTTAAAAAGATTTTTTAAAAATCATCACATAAATAATGTGGTAACCACAATAATTACAAGTATAAATAAAAATAAAGCAAACAAGGAGATAAAGAGCAGTGGAAGAGGAAGCATAAACCACTGTCATTGAAGCTTTTGGGAAAGATCTGTCTCTAGTGACATTTGAACAGAAAACAAAATGAAGTGAAGAAGGCAGGCTTGGGTAATGGAAGCAGACACAAAGGTGTCCAGACTGACAGCACTGAGATTATGTAGGACCAAAGCAAGGACTTTGAGTTTTATCCAGGTAGGATGGAAAGCTGTGGGGAGAATCTGAGCAGCACATCCCACCAGGGCAACAAATAACTGGTGGTGCATTGATACATAGCTGACTTGTTGAAAATGTGTATAGCTAGACAAACATAATTATAGCTGGCTTTTATTGAGCATTTATTATATGTCAAGCTCTGTTCTAAATATGTGGATTGTCTAACATTCTAGGAGTAGGTACTTACACCAACTGTTCACACTGTACAGGTAAATTATCCAATGGGGGCTCATAGTGATTTACCCTAAGATCTCAGCAATAAGTGGTGGGACCTACAGAGTTGAACGTATGCTATCTGCCATACTTATGTATGTCATCACATTTTATAAAGAGTTACAGTAACCAATTTTTATTACACATGCAAATATATTATGTATATGATATGCATGTGTGAAAATGCTTATGCAGAAAAACACATGGAGTGGAGGTTTTTTCTATTTTTCAAAGATATTTTTAAATATTTTTATTTGTTAGTCACACAAGTAAATTTTAGATACCTATCTCTGAGTTAATAAAGGAAATGTTTAATTGAGTTTTGAATCACCAAAACACTTTATTCAATGTATTGCATCAATTGGACTTTTTCATTAACTTAACTCACACACTTCACTTAGCCAGTATACAATTTTGTTAGCTTATTTGCAACCTTATTTCAGTAATTCAGTGACTATGTATACTTATTATATTAGAAAAATACTTGAGTAAAGCATCCTGATCTGAACCCTACTTTAAAATGAAGGACTGAGTCGTTTAGGACAGAATCCTTGAGATCCTTCTACCTGTCGGCTGTCCACTGCAAGATGTGCTATGATACTCATTACTAGAAGAGTCTACTTCTCTTCCACATGTCCTCCAAATAAAGTGGCAACTTTTCCATAGAAAAACAGTATAAGTGGTGGATATGTGTCAAAGACAGCCCACAAAACCCCATCAGCCCCTCTAGCAGGTGGCCTTTTGTAGCCATTTCTTTTTTAGTTCTTTGGGAGAGCAAGGCAGGCTGAGGTTCTGATGGAAGGGGAAGTTGGTTCCCTACAAGGATGAAAAAATAGGCACCATGCTGATGTTACCTCCAACACCAGTAGACCCTTTGGCTTTCATGGCAATTATGGAAGAAGATTTTGGGAAGTGAGTCAGCTGTCAGCCCAGAAGATACCTGGAGCAGGAAGTGTTCGTGAGTGCTTAAGGCTGGCTGACAAGCTGCTGTGTCCGAGATACCGTAGAGTTTTATTGTTTCAGAAAAACAGCTGTAATACCTAAGTTGTTAAGTTGCTGTCAATAAATGAAGGTCTATTGAAATTAGTAACTAATCTGCTAACAGTTTTTATAGTTTCAAGAAGATAATTTACTATCTGTGTGTTTTTACAGTTTCAGTAAGTTAATTTTTGATCTGTGTGTAGATAGGTGTATGTTAACTGTAATTTTTCTTAAATTCTCATTGCTGTCTTATACTTCTTACTTAAAGAGAGAAATCAGCAAATGGTTAAAACTGTCTAACATTAAGGATTCCATTATTTTTTTGTATTCCAGATGCTAGATGTATAGACTTTCAGGTCATTCTAATGTATACATTGTTACTAGGTCTCTTCTCATTTCAGGTTTTACCTTTCTGTTAATCTTTTGTGGTACTATCTCACCAAATGATACCTAATTGTGTTGGTTACCATTTAAAATCTGAATTAAAAAATTAGCTACTGGAAGTAAAATGGTGCTGCTGTTTTGAGACTGGTGTAAACAATAGATGTTGTTCGGGGAGACTATAGAAATAAATTAACAGTAACTGTCACTCATGGCTCTAATGTTATAGATAAATGACTTCTTTAAAATTGGAGGTCAGAAGAGGTTGAAATGAAGTTTCTAGCTGTAAAGCATGTGACTTTAAGTGGTAGCTATCCCAATTTTAATGGCTCAGTAAACTATTTTCCCCAGACTATGACATGGCAAACAAAAGTTAAGGTAAAATGCCACAAATCTGAAAATACAGTTGCCACATCAATAGTACTGGAGACCACAGTTCCTAGTCAATGCCACTCTGCAGAAAAACACTGGAGGAAAAATAAAAATGAAAGGATGGATGGTCCATTGTTGAGGTCACTTTTTTCCAGAATCTGCCGCACAAGGCACTGATTGACATGTGATGAGCTTCCTGAATAGGCTGTGAGGACAAGAGAATAAAAGGGATTGGTACCAATTGTAATGATGAGTCTGCTGTCCCTGTATGAATAAGCAGAAATGTCACACTGTAACGGAGATAATTCTGGTGACTGTGATTCAGGCTATAGCTTAAGAAGTTGAATTTTATTTGATTGTTCAAAGAACAGGCCTCACCTTTCAGCATAACATTTTTAACACCACCCCGACCCCACCCCGCGCGCCTCAGTCAGCCTGTCAATCTCTATTTCTGTCTGTCTTTCGCGCCCCCTGCTGGAAGCATGGAGCTATGCGCAACATTTTGATACATGGAGAAGTGTAACATGATACAGATTTTCTTGACAGAGCTTTTAATATTTATATCAACTTCAACAGAGTAAAAGAAATTTAGTCCTAGTAATTAAAATCTGTGCTCATTTTTAATGGTAACTAACATATCTTTTGATGAAATAGAACAAAAAACCATTAACCAAAAATTGGTAAAACATAAAATGAGAAAAGACCATACATGGAATGCATGTGTTACAATACATGAATGATCTTGAAATCTGTATTTTTACCTGCACCTACACAGCTCACTTATTTATTTATATTCTACCATATACCACAAAAGATAGTATACTATGTAAACACAAAGGGCTTATTGCTAGTGAATGCCCTTTTTAATGAAATTTTAAATTGAATGTTTCCTGTTGTCCCTAAAATCCTACTATCTTAGAACAGTGGGTTGAAATAGAAGACAGCTTATCTATAAAGTTGGGTCCCTTGCTGTTATATGATTTCAGAGTCAATTTTCAGGAAGTATAGACAGTTTGACAGGATGGCTGTAATGAATAAAGCACTCTTGTGTTAGATTAAATTGCAGTGCTAGTTGAAACTCTTGGGTAGAATATTTAGTAAATCTTGAAAATCTGTGTCCTGTTTCACTGGTGTGAAACAGTTCATTCCTTGTGAGAGAATTTCTGCCCAATAATTCATATGGTTTGGAATTAATTTGGAGCGATTGAGAGTTCTGGTTTAAAATTGCACCTGGCTACCAGTACCAGTAGCTATAGTTCCCCACTAAAGTACTTTAGAAAAGTGACAAAACCTCAAAATGACAGAAAACCAGAATCAAGGTTGCCCTTTGGCAAGAATGTGGAAAATTTTTCTATTACTTTATATGAAGCCTCCCCAAAATTCGATAGGAAAAAAAACAAGATTAATTCAAAAAAGCAAGATTTTAACTAGTTAGAAAACTGGAGCATTGGTCTCTGCTTTTGCAGCACCATGAGATTCTCCTCTACTCCCTGTCAATACAAATGCTTCCATACCCATTTATAAGTTGCAGCTCCCAGAAGTGCCTGAGCAAGTGGTAGGATTGGGAAGACCATACTGAGTCCTGAGGTATACAGTGTTATCCATAAGCCCTTGTGGTGGGGGCAGAGACCAGAGAAGCCTGGGCTGCAGTTTCCCTTCATGCATTTGTCTGCCACTTTGGATAGCAAGAGTTCATTCCACTGCAACTATTGCTAGATCCTGGATTTAACTGGCAGCTATAGATATCACCCTGCCAACCATCTAGTGAGCTGAGTAGGAAATTTAGCCCCCAAAATAGTGTGTAGCAACTGAAGCCAATAGTGGTCTGCACATACTGCTTTATTACAGAGTTCTTCCCATGGTTTCAGTTTATAAACAATAGGCTCATACTTGTTGAAGAATAGGGCTGAACAGTTGTCATTCTGAGCACCTGAAAAGAATACACCCTGAAAATTATCTGCTAGTGTCTTAGTCCATTCATTCTGCTACAACAAAATGCCTGGGGGGGGGGCTTATGCATAACATTTATTTCTCAGAGTTCTGGAAGCTGGGAAGCTCAGACGAAGGCACCAGCAGACTCCATGTCTGGTGAGAGCCCATTTCCTGGTTCATAGTGACTTCTTGCTGTGTCCTCATTAGTATGAAGGATGAGAGGTCTTTCTCAAGTCTCTTTTTCCAGAAGCCCCTCTTTCTGTACTATCACCTTAGGAATCAGGTTGTCAGCACACAACTTGGGGTGGGGTGTATTCAGACCAGAGCAACTAAAAAAATTAAAATGTTCATTCCCTGTAGAATGTGGGGAGATAAGACTGAAAGCAGACAAAAAAGCCATAGTAGAGTCTGGACTAAGTTGAAAAAGAATGATGTTGGCAAAGAGGAGGATGGAGTAAGGAACTATAAAAGCAACTAAAATCCAGGAGCATAAAGTTGTCCTCCAGCAGAAGATAGTGGAAGTGAGATAGTAGATATTCTGTTCAGTGTTGTCCAAGACTAGCTTGAGCGGTTCTCCCAGAATGTAGTTGAGGACAGAGTTCTGATGGTGAGATGACAAATGCCCTCACAGAGAAGAGAGAGAGAACTTAAGTATTTCAGATGTTCCATAGAACCAGAAAAGGAGACATTATCAAAAACGTAATCAAAATTTTTCTCAGCCAGGAAAGGCCTGACTTTGCATATTCCATTTAGGGTTGGGAAGTGTGACTAGGCAAATCCAGGCAGTACTTTTAATGACAAATACAATCCATACACCTCCCAGTCCTTCTCATCTCATAAATATAAATCAGTATGCCTCAGTAATAATTCATTATTTAATAATAATGGGCCCTTGAAGTGTTGAGGTGCTGTTGCCCTGGAAGCTGAACTTCAGCTGGCCTTTCTAGGATGATGTTTTCTCCTGGAGAAACCCCTGTTCCAGTCTTGGTCCTTGTGTGCACCTCCACCATTGCTTGGTTCATAGGCCACCCATGCTTCAGAAAATAGCTCAGGCACTGCTGAGTTCAGCCTGTAGCTTTAGGGTCTTGACATCCCCTGGTCACTGACAGCCATTATCATGTTCCTTACCGGCATTGTAAGTATTTTATTGAAAGCCTGTCAATAATAGAGTAGTATTAAATTTCAAAGAAAAGTAATAGTCGCTACCAGATAGGTTGTCTTCCCGAGCTTAAAACCCAATCCCAAGCCCCATAACAGGGAGCCTCTGAAAGAACTTCACTCACAATCTGACACCTAGTGGTCAAACCTGGCCTTCCTCCACTTTCCCAAAGTTCCCAAAAGCATGTTTTGGTCTGCTTGGAGCCCAAAGCTGAAGTTTTCAATGCCCCAGGTAAAGGAGTTCCCTCTTACTTCCATGCTAAAGGGTTCCCTACAAGCCATCCTTTTGTATCCCAGAATCTGCCTCTTCCTTTAGTGAAGGAACCAGGGACATTTTCTTCACAAAGTCCCTCCCAACTACCCTCAAGATTGTTACAGGTCTTCTGCAGTGATCTGAAAGAGACAGCCTCATCAGAGCACAGTAGACTGTCAGCAGTACCAAGACACACGTGTGTGCCCACACATTGTCCTATTAGCTGTACAGAGAGAACAGACCCTTCCATACACAACACTTCTGTAAGTCTGGGTGGTTCAGTACTCACACACAAGCAGCATCACTCTTGTCAGTTAGGTTGGCGCCTCACCTGTCTGGGTCCTTTAAGACCTTGCCAAAAATTTCTGCTGTGTCTGTGTGCTGGGCATAGAGGCTCACCCTGGGATAATGATCTGAGAGGCTGCTTCTCTACATCTCACTCTTAGACCTTGCTGACTGCCCTGTGTAGAGGACGATTGGCTTTCTCTCCAAAGGAATGCAAAAACTTCACATGTTCTCAGGAAAGCTACCCTTAAATGTGAGAGCAAAGGTAGAACGTCCTAAGGGCACCCAGGCAGGTTTCCTTTTGTACAAAATGTGATTTATATCTACCTGGATTTCTTTGAAATACAGAATTCCAGAATGAAATAAGACAGCGTGTTGATCAGAGAGTTTTATGCTCATCGAGGTGTCTGTTACATAAGACATCAATCAACCTAAAGATATTTTCTCATATCAACAACCTATCATGTGTCCCCCTTTTAAAATATAAATACAAAAAATATATAAATACATTCATTATGCAAATTAAAAACTGGAAGGAAACAGTATTTACAATGCTTGCTTCTGGGTACTGACACTATCAGGGATTTTGTTCAACTTCTTTATATTTCTTTGTATTTTGCTTAGTGAAATGCATTGCTGTTCTAACCACTAAAATAAACATTTGGAAATTCAAAGTAAAGAGCATCTGTAAGAGACAGCATACACTAAGGACTGTTTCACAGCTACCGTGCTGAATCTTCTGTAGAAAATAGCAGGAAGCAAGCAAGTGTATGCAATTTCATAAAATGGGAGCTCTTGACATCTTCACCTAAGGTCTCTTCTTGGTTTGCTATCAGGTCGAGCAATATCATAACGTCATTTTCCACGGCCCAGAAGGAAGCTTGCAAGACTACATAGCGTATCAGCTTGCACTTTGCCTGAAGGTATTGATTACTTTCATACCATCTCTCTTTCTTGGAGAATTGGAAAATGGATAGCACTGACCATTCTCTTTGCTTATCCCAGCACAGACAGATGGCTGCAGGATACTCCTGTGACATAGTGAGAGCTGAAGTAGATGCCAGTTTCTCCAAGGAACATCTAGTAGACCTGTTCATCAGTAGCGGTAAGACTATTTCAGCAAACTAGATTGTAATAACCCACGGGCATGGTCTTTCCATTAAATGGAAATAAACACTGTAGCTTGAGGATATGTTTATCAACTTTTCATTCATTCAGTAACTACCATATGAAAGTTGGGAACCCAAGTGAACATTGCAAGAATTACTTTCATATGTGTATTTTCTTTTTTTTCATCTTTTGTGTAAATCATTAATTGATGTGAGTATATTATGTAACTGACAGCAGTGCTTTATCAAGGGAAGAGGTAGTAGGAGCAGTTCACCCTTAGTGACACTGAGTATCATATCTTTGATGCTATCTAGAATTGCTGGTGCATGGTGATAACAGAGCAGATTAATGTTCAGCAGATTTTGCTACTCACAAATTATCTACACCTAGAGCAGACTGCTCTTTCTCACTTTGGTATGCCATTGATTGGTGGTTAGCTAAATATATCCATTCACTAGTTAGCTCATTTAATCCACACAACAGCCTTATGCAAGTTGGTACCATCATTGTTTTATTTCAAAGCTGAGGACTTGGTTACTGAGAGGTGCAGTAACTTGCCACAACTGTGTAGTAGCAGAAGTAGGATAAAACATGTTGATTAATGTAACATCATTCATGTGTTTTCTACTTTAGGCTCTAGAGCCCAGCATCCCAAATGTCACCAAAGGAGGAGGTGGAGTTGGCATTGTTTTGTGTGGTATAGCATCACTGGGCACTGTGAGGCAAAACCAAAATGGCCTAGACTTCAGTCTCCAAAGGCTCAAGCTGCGGAGACTGCTGGGAATCACCTGAGGAGGCAGTTGCAGGAGTGGAGAAGGATAAATTGAGAAATTCAAAATCTCTTTGAGGGTGCTGGGAACTTCGATCTTTGGATCCATGACAAACAGAGATCTCTTGTGGCCAGAGCAACTGAGGCCAGGCTTAGGAAGATAGAAATTGCTTGCAATTCTAAACCAAGAAATAAAATTAAGAGCAGATTTGGGGAAAGACTAAGGATTCCACAGACCTAGAAGCACACTTTGGGGCCAGGAAGGTCTTACCAGAGTCTGAGTGTCACTGTATTACACAGGTCGGGCTTTAACCAGCAGCTAGTGAGAGTGAGCCACAGAAAGCTGTTTTCTCTGATAGTGTCATCAATTATGGCTGACATTTATTAAGTTCTTACTCTGGCAGGCCCTACTCTAAAGACTGTGTTTATGAACCGACAACCCTCTGAGACAGGTTCCTATACACCTAATTTATAAACACTTGAGACAAAAGGTTAAGTACCCTGCCCAGTGGTCCCACAGCAAAAACACAGAGCAGGACACAGCTCTGGCAGTTTGGCTTGTAAGCCTGGCCTTCATCACTCTCAGCCACTGCTCCTTAAAACCCCGCTGTGCTAAAATGTGTTTGTCCCTCTTAGTTGTCTAACAAAAGGCCCCTAGTTTTTTCAGCTTTCAGTCTTATTTTATCTCAAATTAAGAAGCTAAGAATGTTTTATTCTTACAAATTAGGGTAGATGGCAGCTGAAGACTGAACTCTGGTGTGAGTTTAAACAGCTAAGAAAATTGGAGAGCAATGAATTAGGTCATGAAGGATGTAAAAAGGTGACCAGCTCAGCCTTTCAGAATCTAGGCATCTTCTTAAAAAGATCTCTTCTTCCTGATTTCCCAGTTTGGAGAGTAGCCCAGATCTATTGGCTCCTATACTTGAAACTCAGATCTTGTTGGCAGACTTGAAAACCTAAATGCCCACGAGCCACAGTGAGGAGCAAAGCCAGTGGAGTAGGAATGCAGGGAGCCAGAGACATATGTCCCCATTTCCACAAGAGGCTGCTGCTTGAGGCTCTACTAGCTTGTTGCTGGCAGACCCAGTATTAATTGGTCTTATGACTTTTAGGAAGAATCTAGGTTTCTATATGAAGTCTTTGGGGTTTTGTCCTTTCAGTTTTGTCAGCTGTTTTTTATACAGTGCTAGTGATTGAACCCAGGGCCTCATGCATGTAAGGCAAGTGTTCTGCCACTCTGCCACATCCCCAGCCCTCAACTACTTTCATTTTTTAAAGTAATATGACAGCCACATTGAATCCCAGGTCTACTCATTTATGGGCCCTTCACCCTGTCCCTAGCCGTGGTTACATCTTGCTGAGACAGTCTCCAAGTACCTTTCCGTATCCATTCTTACAGGCACCTTACTTGACTCCCCTGCCAGTAATTCATTTCCTTCCCTGAAAATGGACTCTTGCATATTGCTTCTGCACCTTGAACATCTGTGGCTTAGTCACTTTCTCATTGCTGTGACACAGTATCTGACACTCACAACTAAAAGTATTATTTTGGCTCACGGTTTCAAAAGTTTCAGTCCATGGCAGGGTCAAATGCAAAACTGAAATGATAGAAAGCCCTGATGTGGAGGAAAGCTGCTCATGTCATGCCTGCCAGGAAGCAGAGAGAAGGGGGAGGAGCCAGAGACAGATAACGCCCTTCCAGGTCACACCTCCAGTTACCCGCCTCTCTCCACCAGGGCCCATCCTGTGACAGCACATTCAGTCAGGAGCTCATCAGTGGGTCAGTCTGGCATAGGCCAGCAGATCTTTCTTTAAAGCTGTGTGAATCCTGTGTGCCATCCCTCCGTGACTCCTGAACTAAGTCAGTGTTGTTCAGATCCTTCCATTCTGGGGCACTGATGCACCCGCTTCTCTTCTCTGACTCTTAAAGCAGATGTCCATGCTCCAGCATAATATGAGGTTTCTTCCCTGTGTGTCCTTTTCCTATCCACTCCATATCCTCTTCTGACTTTGGCTTCTACTGACATTATAGTAAAGACTTGAGCTACCATGTTGCAGGCAGAGTGCAAAGTATGTTCACACTAGAAGCTAAAATAGACATGATCTCTGCCCTATGGACACTGTAGGAAAGCCTCTGTTAAAGTGCTGTAAGGGCCCTGTCCAGATCCTTCCAGATGTGATAGTCTCTCTAGTGAACATTGGTAGGCTTTATTTATACCCCTGTTCCTCACCTGACTGTAGTTTAAGCCAGTGAGATTATTTGGGCTTTTGCCTTACCACACTCCTATGCAGGCTTCAGGTGTCAGAAGAGAATAGCTTGCTTAGAGGAGAGATAGAAAGAAGGAATATTAGGATAAGGGAGTCATTTATGGTAGGGCATAAAGATAGAATGATTTGGATTTGAAAAATGCAATTTTGAACAATGGGCTAAGGTCAAAAACATCTGCACTCTATGCTCAAGAGCAAATGGTATATTATCTCCAAATACACAGGGGCTTTTATTCTCAGTCATTTGTAAGTATCAATATGTGTCTTCTCTTTCCAATGACTGAAAGGTAAATTCAAGGTTTCTCTGCTGAGACCCTGATCGCAGTTGTACCCACCAGCAGTCTAAGCATTACAGGTCCCTCAGTTTGCCTCCCTCCTCACCCCAAGGCTGTCCCTAAAGTGTGTTGAATCTGCTCCCTTTGTCTTGTCTCCTCCAGCTGCTAATCTCCATTCCCTGCTGCCATCCACCTTTTCTTGTTGAAGGGGCTGTGGAGGCCTCATTAACTCTTCTTCCTGTGCTTTAACTCCCTCCAGACTCTTCTGCCGGGCTTTCAGGAGGACACTACAGGATTCACAGCCATTCATGACTGTTCCCTGCTCTTATTCTCTGGTGGCTCCAGAATAAAAGCTAAAGTTCTCTGAATGCTATGTCCAAACAGACGGTGTAGCCTCTCACCTTGCCCCTGCTGCTGTCAGTCTTCAACTCCTAACACTCCCTCCCTCAGAAGCATATCTTCTCTGTAGGCCCAGAGATGATGGAGAATGTCCACTTCAGTAGAGGGGGGACGCCAGGGCTTCTGAGCAGTGTGTCTCGGGTAAGCGAGGGAAGGATTCATGGTGCACTCGCAGTCAGTGCTTTCCCTGTGCAGGAAGCCCACAGCAGGGAGCATTCCTCTGCTTGAGAGGTGATGGAAGAGGACAGGGGAGGCAGAGCTCTGGAGGAGGGGAAAAGGATTTCTAGGCAGTTTTGCTCCTGCTTTTAGAATAATGCTGTTCTAGGAATTATCTGTCAGCTTCTCTTTTACCTTTTTACCAAGAAATTAATGTGATCAAATGACATTAGTACAAATGAGAAATGCAGTGATTCATGAGGTGTTCTATGTGTTCTTGGATTTTAACCTTCTCTAAAGAAAAAGGCTTAGACTATTTGGATTGAACTTTTATCTTCCACCGAGCACAGCACATATATGACTTTATTCGTTCTTCTCTGTAACTGTGTAGAAGAGAGCCAGTGAAAACCCTCTGAGAAGGAATATATGTACAAAAAGTACAGGAAAGAGGAATAGCAAAAATATTTTAAACTCAATTTTAAGAATTTGAAGCATATCTAGAGAGATTAATATGGTGCCAGTGCAGAAAAAAATGTAGAACAAAAGAACACTTCAAAAAGAATGATTAAGCACGTATGCCAGCACAAATTACTTTGTGTTTATTTCAAAATAACATTTTCTTTCTCACATTACCTTTCGTGAGAGCCAACCATTTGACATGACAAGGTTATTTGGTTAGGAGGGTGTGAATGTGTGTTAGAATTGGCTCAGATTTCTCCTCAGAGTACAATAGAGCTGGGTTAGCATGAAAGATACTTTTAAAAATTGCTTTTAATTCTAAGTAGTAAAACAAGAAAAAATTTTAACACTTGATTGGTATTTTAAAATAACATTTTGAATCCTTGAGAAAATTTTCCCTTTTAGAAGTCATAAGGAATGGAATTACCATGAAAATAATAGAGTATACACAAAAATATATGTAGTATATAATATAGTGTATACATATATAATATATAACAATAATGCTAGAAGAAGAATATGATAATTGGAATCTCCGTAAATGAGTTTACTTTGTGGATCCTGAATTACAAAAAGGTGCTATGAAGTTGTAATGCTCTAGGCATCACCCCTGCAGAACATTGGTTTACAGAGACAGTAGACAGAGGGGCTGTTTTCATTCCACAGAGGAGAAATTATAAACATGAGGTCACCTTATGCACAGAAATTTGGGTTTAACAATAAAGGTGGTGTGTTAACCATTTTTAAACCAACAAATGTTGGTGTAGAACTAACCAGGACTTTTTTTTTTTTTTTTTGGTACCGAGGATAGAACTCGGGTCCTTGTGCTTGCAAGGCAGGTGGCAGAACCACTGAGCTAAATTCCCAGCCCTAGGACTTGTAGTATAGGGTTGTCCAAAACCGAAATGTAGCCCTGAACCTAATAAAGACCATGTCCAATTGTGATTAAACTACAAGAGAAGAGCAGAGCTGATATAGGCCCTAAGTTGGAAGAGAAAAGGTCAAAAAGAATGCACTAGTTTCAGAAATAAAGCTTTGAAGTAGAATTAAGCAAAGAGAATCCAAATGGCTGACTTTCTGACCACAAGCTGAAAGGAACTGTAGATACAGGGTGACTGGCCTCTTTTCATGTCTCCATAAATCCTGATCAGAGACCATTTAAAACCTTGAAACTTGAAACTGTAATGAAGTCAGATGTCATGGTATGCACTTGTAATCTCAGCTACTTAGGAGGCCGAGGCCGGAGGATCTCAAGTTCAAGCCCAGGCTGGGCAACTTAGCAAGATCCATCTTTAAAAAAAATTAAAAGGCCTGGGGATGTAGCTCAGTGCCTTCCAGACCCAATACACAGTATTGAAAAAATAAGAGAAATTGTAACAAGTTCTTGGTCCTGTGGGAATTTTTTTCTGTTCTTAACCTGGACTTATGCTAAGTAACTTGATCCAGACACATGCTATTTCTTAACTTAAAACCTACCCTTGTCTAAGGATGTTAAACATAAGTGGTCAGATGTAGAAGGTGCTGATAAAAAAATGAGGAACTGAGGCCAGCAGCGCTGAAGACACAGCTTTTCACCAAAGAAGCCCATGCAGATGAGGTGGAAATCCACCCCAGTGGGTATAGACTGCGACCCCTACCCCCTTCTCATGTTGGTCTAGGACATGAACTGCAAAAGTCCACCATACCTGTGGGATTAAGTCACTAGCAGCACAGTCCCCACTTGCATACTGAGAGAATGAGTTTGTGTCTCCCCATGAGACCGCAGGTAACTCTTATAAACTCCTATTGCCAGCCGGGATTCTCCTGTGTTGCTCTCACCCTTACTTCCTGTCCGTAGCTGGACATCTCGGAAGTACTGGTGCTTCCTCACACACATCAGACCTGAAGCATCCTAGCACTGCCATCCTTCCCACGCACGCCCCACCCCTGGTTATGTGGTGTCTCTGCCTCCATTCCCTGCATAGCTCATCCTCCAGTGGAAGATCCGGTGTGTCTCTGACACTTCCTCTTTGTCCCTTGCTGTACACCAAACACCAGACCCTGTTGATTCAGTCTTGGAGTGCCTTTCCCTCCTGTGCCTTGGGCCTGAAGAAAGCTCCCTCACCTCTTTTTTTCAGCACCGAGGAGCTGAGTAGTAGTAGTCTGTTTTCTCCACACACAGTGAGGATCTCAGAGCAGGAGTTCATGTCCTGTTCATCACCCTCCATAAAGGCTTCCCCTGATTCCCACTGCTGGAATTTGCTCCTCCCACCATCACATTCTGGGACTTCTCCTTTTCATTTTTGCCTGGGATCTGAGAATTCAGAGCAGCAAGTCTCAGTCCTGGCTGCACATTCTAGTCGTGCGGAAGTTTTATGAAATTCCAGTGTTCCAGGCCCAGCACAGACCTATTAATCAGAATCGCCGGAGGTCATGGGGTCATCCCAGGGGATTCCAGTGGGTAACCAGGTAGAAACGTAGCCCGCTGCTGTGCTGCTGCCCACAGTGGTGACTGCTCGATCCCATGGCACTCACTGGCACCATCAGCTCTGTCCCACCTGTTTCCCAAGTATGCTGACTTTGATTTGATGCCCCAGTCCTTATAGGACTAACCTGTGCCCAGTCCATTTTTCTGCCTCTGCTCTTTCTTAAGCATAGAAGGCCCTCCCCTGACCTGTCCATCCATTATGATGCCATTTCTCTCAAAAGACCAAATTTTAAATGCCCCCCCTTCCCTCCAAGTCAGAATCGGTCACCTTCAGCACAACATAGCACTTAGCACACTGGACGTGTAGGAAAGAGTCATTAACAAATTTTTGAAATGGTTAATTCCTTCTGCTAGTTGCAGTAGCTTCAGAGCTACTCGAACTAGCTAAACATTTAACACAAATCAGAGAAAAACTGGAGACCTTCAATTCTATATTATACAAAAACAAGTGAACCATCAACCTAGTGTATTTTTCATCACTGAGTAAAAAAGCCTTGTTTACCATTGTTTTCTTAAGAAATTACAGACTTATACTTTCGCAATACAGGTATTTCTGTAATAACATTGGAACTCATGAAGCATAGGATTTTAGCATCACACAGAGTAGCCGTGGTAAATGAATCTAGTGCACACACTGGACCCCAGTGTAACCACCACCACCACTGAGTAAAACCAAATGGAGAGGTGGCTGCTATTGTGTCTAGGCTTCTGGTGTTTAAAGCTTCACTGGATCCAGGAATGCTACTTCAGCTTATGAAGAGATTTGTTTGCAGTGTTCAAGGATTCTTTTGGAAGTAAAATTGCATTGTGTCTATAATAACAAGAAAGAGAAATATATTATCATGAGGATTTGTGAAAAGTAGAATACTTGACAGTATTATTCTCCAATACATATAATTTATTTTGGTCACAGTTAATTTACCTAAACCTGGGGCATCTTAGAATCTTCTAAGAAGTTGTAAAAAAGATTTTCATTTGTTTATTAATTGGTATATAGGAAGTGCTGTATACATTTTGGCTAAAATATTAGTAACGTGACTGCTTAGTAGGTACCAGATGCTAAGTATGATTTATGCATTGATTTATTAATTTCTTTTATATAATATCTCCATTTACTTTACATCTTTCACTTTGGTTTGATGTGAAGTCATTTCCTCCCATCCTGAGTGGAAGGAACCTAAAATACCACTCAGAAGTCATAGATTTTACTCCTTCCTTCCTTTTATTTATGGAATGTTAATCTAATCATTTCCGCCTCTGAGATCTGTAAACTGAGGGAAGGGATCTGCTTCTCTCTTGGAAGGCCTGTCTGCCTAACATTTTGAACATTTTGTGGATGTGTAATTCAAAGGGCATTTAAGAGTTTTTAACCTTTTGTATTGTGAAACAGACATACATAAAACACTACTTATACTTACAGATCAATGAATAATTTTAAAGAAACATTTAACTGCTGAGCAGGTCAAGAAATAGAATATTTTCCCCTTCGGCAATGCACCTATGCCCCCTCTCCTTGTATAATCTCTTCTTTCTGGAGGTAACCACTCATCTGTCTTTTAAGACAATCATTTCTTTGCTTTGTAGTTTTACACCCTACACAGAGCCTCTTAGTTATATATTTAGTATTGCATTTTTTAAAAATTTCATGTGATGAAGTAATATTTTTGAGATACATTAGTACATCTTTACTGGGTACATTATGGTAATTTAATATATGTATACAATATATAATCAAATCTGGGTAATAAGTATTTTCATCTCTTCAAATATTAGTCATTTTTATATGTTGGGAGTTTCATATTCTTTTGGTCATTGTGAAATATCTCATAGGTTGTTTTTACCAGGAGTTACCATGCTATGCTGCTGTGCCAAGGAACTAGAAGTAACTCCTGCACTCTGTTTTGGTGCCCCTTATTGAATTTCTCTCCAAGCTGCTCCTCCATTCCTTCTCAGTCCCTAGGGAACACTATTCCTGTTCTCCTATGACACTGACTTCAAAATCATAGTTCTTTAGTGATTTCTTCTTAAATGTATGATTTATGATAGTCTTCTCTGTTGTTATTTAGAATTATAATTTGTTCAGTTTCATATCACGTGTATCAATATATTCCTGTTTCTTTATTTATTCTTAATGGATATTGGAATGGTACCTCATGGAATCTGTTGTGGAATTAGGAGTGATGGGTCATTATGTGTATCCTCACGTGTATTAAATAATGCAACACTGCCTTTCAGAGTCATTACAGGTGCCCAGCAATTTCAGAGCATGTTCAGAGCTTATTTTAGAGTTTGCCAACACTGTGTCATATATGTAGGTTTTTGTAAATGCTCCAATTCCTAATTTCTTTTTTCAACCACAGCTTGTCTGATCCCAGTGAAACAATCTCCTGTTAAAAAGAAAATCATCATCATCTTAGAGAATTTAGAGAGATCTTCATTGTCTGAGTTATTGGGAGACTTTCTGGCACCTCTTGAAAATCGAAACACTGAAAGCCCATGGACTTTTCAAAAAGGTAAAGGCAGTGGAGAAACCAGGCTGAGAAGCCAGCTTCTGTGAGATCTCTCTACTCTTTCTCCTCCCCAGTGTGCCAGTTATACGTCATGTTCTTCTTTCTTTAGCTAATTTTAATGTGTGTTTGTCCCATAATACATATGACTTGCTGAGATTGGATTGTGGGTTTGGCTTGTTTTAGGAAATGGGACATCCGAATGTTACTACTTTCATGAGAACTGCTTTCTGATGGGAACCATCACCAAGGCCTGCCTCCAGGGCCCCGACTTGGTGGTACAGCAGCACTTCCGTTGGGTTCAGCTGCGATGGGATTGCGAGCCCATGCAGGGCCTGCTGCAGAGGTTTCTACGGAGGAAAGTGGTGAATAAGGTAACAGCAGCTGCAGCCTATTGCTGGGACAGTGGAGTGGGGGGTTAGTTATCAGCAGATTTGGGCTTCAGTTACACTCATGGTATGGCCTCAGGCAAGAATAATCTGTGGGTATTTGGGGGTTAAATAAGATAATAAAAGTTGAGCTCAGTGTCTGTACTCTAGTAAGAACAAGAAAATATATGTTTACCAATTAAAAGTTTTTCTACTATATTAAATACATGGCAAAAGTTATAGCTTTTACTATTGTTATTAACTGTTCTCAAGGAATCTCACCAAGTTCTAAATGCTGTAGAAGGCTAGAGTTGGATTATTCAGTAGAAAAAATGTTTCAAAGTTCAAAATGTGCAAATATTAAATTATACTGGGAAAAACTCAGATCAACTGCATTTTGGTAGTACAGAGCATTCCCAAAAGGACAAATATTTATTTACTATTAGAAGAAATATCTCTCAATTATCCTGCATGAAAGAAATAATCTGGCCAAGGAAAAACAAAAGATGTTTTAGTGACAGCAGTGGCTCTGCTAAATTGATAGCATGTGCTACATGAGGCTTTGGTCTCTGTTAGGGCTCTGTTATAAAAACTGCTCTCCTCTTCAAAAGAGAAAAAAATCATTGTATAGCCCTCACTCTGATAGTCTTTCAGCAAGAATTCTGAGCTCACTATTATAATTAAAGATAGCTAAATATTAATTTTCTACTAAGAGAGGTATAATTATTTTTATCAAATACTAGTAGGAAACCTAGTATTATCCTGAAAGGTCTATGTTGTTATATTCATGGAAGGCCTGGAAAAAGAAACTGGGATCAAGTGCCAGTATGCTTCTAAGAGCTTACAAGGATTAAATTCTTTAACGCTACAAGGTTTCTGATGTCGTGCAGTAGTCATTCATTCCCATTGTACATGGACACCAGGAATTTGTTTTATTAACTTACTTGAAGTGATTCTTGGTAAATGAAAAGCATTCCCCTTTCTTTACCTTTCTATTACTTTTTTTCTTTTTTTTTTTTTTGGTACCGGGGATCCAACTGGGTCCTTGCACTTTTGCAGCAGGCGGTGAAACCACTGAGCTAAATCCCCAGCCCTCACCTTTCTATTCTTTAGACCACATCCCACTGTCATACACAATCCAAAGAGTAGAGCTGGTGAAATTACCATTTCAGCTCACATCTTCCTTCTAGAGAAGTTAAAATTTTTTTCTAAAGCATAATACAAAGAGAACATGCCACAGATTCACACACATGCCATTTACCTAAAATAAGAGTTAATGCTATTCTTATTTCATTCATTCAGAAGCCATTTTTGAACATTTACTATTTTAAGACCCTATGAAATACTCTGCATATATATGAATAATGAGTTCTTCCAGAAATGGTATTTAAGAATTCATCCAGGTTTCTCCATAGTTTACATATTGCTCTATTTTGTCTCAATTTGATGTAATCAGATACTCATGGAAACAGTGTAGTCCACCTCAACCTGCACATGTAATACAACTGAACAATTCTGCTCCAAACCTAACTGGCTTCCCATCCTGAATTCTCTGTCACCAGCCATCCAGAGTCATGACGTCTTCAGTCTATCAAGTCAGTGAGTCATGACATGTCCTCATTCTTTGGCAAACCACAGAAGACCCAGTGGAAGGGTGATGGGGCCACCGGTGGAAACCAGTCATTAGAATACAGTGTGTTAAGCACAACTTTGGGCATGAAATTGTTTGGGATACATTTGAGCAGTGTTTCCTGCATATCCAGTAAATATTTGCCACTGGCCCAGGACTGAGGCAAGACAGAGGACACCCTCATGGAATTCAGGTTCTCACGGAAATATGGGCCTTTAAAAAGGAACTATGCATGGTTGGGGATGCAACTCAGTGGTACAGTGCTTGCTTATCATGCTTACCGCCCTAGGTTCGATCTCCAGCAGCACAACAAATGAAGGGGGTGGGACCATCCGTGGGGGGTGTTGCAGGCCTTGTTGGAATTTTTATTCAGACTCTTCAAGTGCTATTTGGTTAAAAATATATTCAGTGTGTTAGAGTCACACATACAAGTAACCAGCTGTTCTTGAGCTTTTGTGTTCAGTGTCCAAGCTTTACCTTTGCATTTTTAAACCTAGCAGCAACACTTAATCACCTTTAAAGGAGCAATTATAACTTAAATTCTCTTAAATGGTTTAATTGGCTTTTAAAACTTTAACACATTTCATCACTCTTAAGAACTTCTGCCAACAAACAAATCTTCCTAAGCACTTAATTCATAAAACTAGAAAATTAAATGTATAAATCCAATGAATCAGTTTTCCTAACTTTTTAAAGTTTTCGTTATTAGTACAAGTTTGAGCGTAATGATTGCACTCATCACGAGGAGTTGGTACATGCACATAACACATCTTGATTCTTTTTACTTATCCTTCTCCTCCCTGGCTTTCCCTCTCCCTCCATCTCTTGGTCACTTTCCTACTTGCTTCTGTCTCCCTGACTTCTATTACCTATTGTTTATTTTGCTATTTATTTATAATCTGGGTTTCTCATATAAGGGAAACCATGCAATATTTAAGTTTGTGTGTCTGGTATTTCACTTAACATTATGGCCTCAAGGTGCATCCATTTTCCTACAAATGACTCAACTTTATCTTTCCTTATAGTAGAGTAGTACTTCATTGTGTATAAATACCACATTTTCTTTCTTCATTCATCTGCTGATGGACATATAGGCTGTTTCCAAGATTTAGCTATTATGAATTGTGCTGCTATAAACATGGATATGCATGTATTACTCTAATATGATGATAATAATAACCAGGAATATGACTGATAATAATAATCTTTCAGGAAGACACCTAAAAGAATATCTGGGTCAAATGGAATTTCTAGGTTTAGATTTTTGAGGATTCTCCACACTGATTTACATAGTGGTTGTACTAGTTTACACTTCCACTAGCAGAAGAGTTCCTTTCCCCCCAACAGTCTCACCATCATTTGGTACTTTTTGATTTCCTGATGATAGCCATTCTTTCTTGAGTAATATAGACTCTGTTATTTTAATTTGCATATTTGTAATGGCCAGAAATGTTGTACATGTTTTTTCATGTATTTATAGGGCATCTGTACTTCTTCTGAGAAGTATCTATTCATTTCAGTTGCCCATTTTGTATTCAGTCTTTTATTGTGGGGAGGTCTAATTTTTTAATCTTTTATATATTGTAGAAATTAATTCTCTGAGGAATAACTGGCAGAATTTTTCCCCATTTTGTGGATTATCTTCACTCTGTTGGTTGTTTCCTTTGCAATGCTTTTTAATTTGATATAATCCTATTTGTTGATTCTTGATGTTACTTCTTGTGCAATTGAGATTCTGTTCAGTGATGCCCAGGTCTTTAAGAGTGTATATTTGTTTTACATTTCAGCTGATTAAGTACTTCTATTTGAATATTTACATCTTTGACTCATTTTGATTTCAGTTTAGTACATTGGGTCTTCAATTTAAAGCATCATGTTGTCTGCAATTAAAGGCAGTTTGACTTCTTTCTTTCCTGTAAATATCCCTTTCATCTCTTTCTCCTGGCTGATTGCTTTTGTTAAAAGTTTCACGTACTATATTGAACAGGAGTGGTGAGAGTAGACATCTTTGTGTTGTTACTGATTTTAGAGGGAAAGCTTTCAGGTTTTCCCTATATAATATAATGTTGGCAGTACATTTTATCATAAATGGCCTTTATCACATTGAGATAAGGACCTTCTGTACCTATTTTCTTCAGGGTATTTATCATGAGCAGACGTTTGATATTGTGAAAGGCATTTTCAGCATGTATTGGGATGATCATGTGATTTTTGTCTTTGGTTTTGTTTATGCGATGTATTTATTGATTTGCATATGTGTGAACCACATATGCATCCCTGCATTCCTGAGATGAAGCTTATTTGGGCCTAAGATGTGTGATCTTTGTGTGTGTGTGTCTGTGTGTGTATGACTGTGTGATCTTTCCAATGATTTGTTGTTGCATTCTCTTTTCCAGTTTCCTGTTGAGTATTTTTGCACCTGTGTTCAATAAAGAGATTGGCCTGTAGTTTTGAGTCCTTGTCTGGTTTCGAAATTAAGGTAATGCTCATTTCCAGAAATGAGTTTGGCATTACTCCTTGATTTTCAGTTTTATTAAAGAGTTTGAGGAGTACTGGTGTTTGATCTTCCCTGAAGTTCTTGTAGAATTCAATGGTGACTCCATCAGGTGCTGGGCTTTTCTTAGTTGGTAGTATTTTTTTATTATTACTGCCTCAATTTCATTGCCTATTATTGGATTATTTAGGGGTTTTATATCCTGTGGGTTCACATTTGAGAATTCATATACATGTCGGAACCTGTCCATTTCTTCTGGATTCTCCAATTTATTGAAGTAAGAGTTTTGGAAGTAGTTGCTAATAATCTGGATTTTTGGCCATGTCCATTGTGATTTCATCCTTTTTGTTTCTATTTGCGTTGATATAGGTCTGCTCTTTTCTTTGGAAAGATTGGCTAAAGGTTTGTGTATTTTGTTTATTATTAAAAACCAGCTCTTCAATGTATTGATTCTTTTATTTTTAAGTCTCAATTTCATTGATTTCTGCTCTGATCTTTATAATTGTCTTCTTCTGGCTTTGGATTGTTTTTCTAGGACCTTGAGGTGTATCACTAGGTAATTTATTTAGATTTGCTCTGTTTTTATGACGTTGGCATTCATAGCTATAAACTTCACTCTTAGGACTACTTTAGTTGTGTCCCACAGGTTCTGATATTACTCTCCTTTTTTGGGTCATCTAGCAGCTGTTTAATCTATTTTTCATGTTTTCTTGTTTTTTAAGTTGTCTCTGAGTATATAGTCATCTGCATCAGCCCTGTCTTCTGTCCTCACATCGGTCACTCCTATCCATACTTTCAACAGAATTTATCTCCTGGATTTGTGTTTGGTACTTTTTCATGGATGCTAATTCTTTGCTAAAGTGGTCATTCATATTTTTTATAGTTTTGTTTAGCTCAGCTAGCTTTTTTATCAGTATCTTCTTTATCCTCTTTGACCATTTTGAGTCCATTATCTGTTTGGTTATGTATAAGTTCGCGAAGCACCTTATTAATCTGTTTTCTTTTGGTTGGTCTCCTCTATTATCACTTTGTATAATTCAGCTGTTTGGATTTTTATTTCTTTTCTCATCAGTGCCCCATGAATTAAATGTGTGAGGAGTTGGAAGTTTTGGGAGGCATTTTGTTGCCTTCTTTCTCATGTTTCTATTGGTGTATGTGTGTGCACGTGCATGAGTGTGCACATGTAAAGAGTTGCAAGTTGAGTACAGTGGAAAGATTTTGGTGCTGGTGCAGAGATCTCTTTAGAAAGTGTCTGCTCCCTGGTGGTGCACTCTGGAAGTGGCTAACTATAGGCCTGTGCCTCTGTACCAAAATCTGACCACCTCTGTTAATTTGGGCATGGGAGATGGTAGTGTAATTGGCTCAGCACTCAATTCTCCAGAAATGAACCACAGTATTGCTCATGACACAAGACAAAGCAGATATTGGAATACAGTAAAACAATAATAGCAACTATACTACCCTGTCAATAGCAATGAAATCAGCAAAAATAAGAGTCAAAGACAAACTGGATATTGATGTACATAAGAACCAATAAAAGCTACCACTGTATCACCCTAAACAATAGAAACCTATATTAATAATATAGTCATAAAGACCAATCAAATATTGACATACAGTAAATATCTACTAAATGCAATTACTATGTAATCATTACCAATAGAAAAGAAATCAATAATAATAGCATAGAATCAAGTAAAGATTAATAAAGGTTAATAGGAATAAGTACTTAGTAATAGCAATAGTAATAAGCTTAATAATAGTAATAAGCTTAATAGTAAAAGTGGAAGAGTGGGAAAAGAGAAAATTAAAGTAATAAAATTTGAGAAAAGATGAAAATGAGGATAGAAAAATGATATCAAGGATCCCATGAGGAGTAAAAGAAAATTAATTCAATAATTAATTCAAAAATAACAGAAGAAAAACAAAAAATCAAGCCAACAAAAGAAAAAAGTAAAGGAAAAAATCTTCCAAACTCTCAAAAATCAGTGAAGGAAAAGAGGAGTCCAGGCTGTGGTCCAACCGGGCGGAGGGTGGTGCAGTCTCAGAGGCGCAGCGGGGACCTCCACCCAGGACAGTTCTCCCTCCCGGGCCTCTCCCCTCCTGCCCTTGCGTGTCCTCACCTCCTAGGCCTCTCTTATCCGATAGCGTGGGGTGAGGTGAGAGCAGGCCCAGGGAGGATGATCACGCTGAGGAGCCGCAGTCTCTAGCAAGATGACAGAAGTCCTGACAACAACTGACTCCCAGAAACTGCTACACCAGCTGAATACCCTGTTGGAACAGGAGGCCAGATGTCAGCCAAAGGTCTGCGGCTTGAGACTAATTGAATCTGCACATGATAATGGCCTTAGAATGACTGCAAGACTGAGGGACTTTGAAGTGAAAGATCTTCTTAGTCTAACTCAGTTCTTTGGCTTTGATACGGAGACATTTTCTCTAGCT